ATTCACACAGACACCAACAGGGAGGGCCATTTAATATTAACAGTATATAATTTTGTATATTAAAATATATAAAACCATGTCAGTACTTCAGAGTTCAGGATGCATTTACAAATGAATTTAAGTAAATCACTTAACTCGTCTCGACGCAAGAGGGCTGTATAATTTTTACATTACCGTGAAACAGCAATTTACACATCCAATCATTAATCTTACATTCAAATTGTTTTTTTTTTACTTTTATGTCAGTGATAAATGATGGTGGGGGCTGAGTAGTGCGATAAATAACGTTAGCTCATCAGAATAATGTACAACATACAATGAATGTTACTAATATCCTGTAATATTCTGTGGCATTTATGAATGAAAACTGCAAGCCGCATCATAATGTAAAATATAACGAGAAAATGATATATAACTTATATTTCCAGGGTTTGGGTCTTAGAACTTGCTATTTACCGTGAAAATCCTTAATTTTATATGGCCACTGTCCTATGATACTCAATGTCTTAATGTATATTTTTGGTCTTAGATCATATGAAAACACCCCTACAAAATTGGGAGGATTAAAGAGACTGAATCTTTAATCAGGAATTTCTTATCCTTAGCATCCACTGAAATGCTTTAATGTTATCAATAATTGAAGTGAGAATTGACTGAAATAGGTCTACCTCTTTAAATTCTAATCTTATTCTTTTAGAATATTTAATATTTAAATATCTAATCTGAAATTTCTCTGTAAACTCTAATGTGAAACTACTCTAACTCTTTCATTGAAGAGAAGTATGTTGCATTTGTTATCACCCTTCAAGAATATTGTAGAGTCAGAAAACCTAAATGGAGTTCTCACTTAACCTCTTTTAGGAAATGATGTGCAATAAATAAGTAATAAGACATAAAACTGTCCTAAAAAACAAGAGATTATGTTTTCTAGTACCTTCAATTTTTTTCAAAATTTTTCTTTCTTCAAAATTTATTCTGCCACACCTCCAGAATTATGAAGTAAAGTACAAGTTAGGTAATACCAAAGCTACTTCAGCTGCAATTTTGTAGCTGATAAAGAAGCATCAGGTAATATTGACAGGTTAAGTAAGTGCAAAATTGACATGTTCACATAATGATAATTTGCAAAATATTGTCACCAAGGTATTTTTTTAAAATTTATCAATTCAAAATTGCTCAAAAGTGAGAAGCATAGTGCTTGATGTCTTCTTTTCATTGCAATGATGTAATGAGTTATGGCATAAGCTCTGCTATTACTCAACTGTAAAAAAATGTGTAATGCACAGGTAATATCAATATTTCTTGAATATTAATACCATTAACCTTATTGTAATTACTGTTTTACTTACTTGACAAATATGATTGTTTGTGGCCTTATGATATGCTTAACTGTACAGTTTTGTATCCAGGGTTATAAAACAATATGAATCACTGGTAAAAATTTAATATATTCCTTTTGCAAAATTTTCATAAGCCATTCTATATTCTCCCTTTCGCCCTTCATCAAACTGGTAATTGTACAAAAAACAGAATAAAAAAATAATGAACATATCCAATGGCACTTTATTTATTTTTGAACATTTTTTAACTCTCATCATTTTCATTTGAACACTAGAAACACCAAAGAGACACAGGTAAGGTAAACTCTGAAATCACAGTTCATACCCAGATCTTTCACCTAGATTGATATCAATGGAGGGAATGCATCCTTTTTGCTAACAACAAGCTTCCTATGAGCATGGGAGATGTACCCCTTCATCCGACCATCATAGATCATGTTGGCCAGGATGCATTCTGTCTCATCTAAGTCCACGTCTTCAACACACATCCACTTGAGACTCTGCAGGAAGTACGTAATCTCAATCTGGTGGGTTCCAAGCATGAGGTACCTAGAGAGTGAGGAGGAGGTAAATGAAGCTGATAGTAAATGAATGTATAGAAGGACTGAGAATTAATATCTTCTCAATACAATATACTCATTCTCATTCATGCCTTTCTACATTTCAACAAGAATAAAGTTCATCAGTAATAATGGAAAAAGGATTAATGAAAATTACATCAATAGGTATGATATTGATATGTTGCTACAATAATGATAAAAAAAATGATAAAAAGGAACTTAATTAATAAATGTAACACTCTGATTCTATACACAATTTTTAAGAACATGCAAATGTATATTTGAAAAGCTATGCCTTATTATATTAATATATATACTTACACTTTCTTAAATAGGTTTCTGAAAGCAAGTGTTTTCAATTTCTCAAGAATAAGGTATATTCCTGCACCTATGAAGAAACTCTTGTGCTTTGTCAAAGTCTCTGACAATAGGCGCACATTTCCCTGCCGAACGGATGCTACAACTTCTCGGAACTCTGGCAGATTGTACCGCTCCAGTAGAGAAAGTTTTGGCAAGTAACCCTAAAACAAAAAAGAAACAGAGTGTGATAAAGAAAAAATAAAAATCAATATACAAAGTCATAATAGTAATGAGAGGTAC